GTGGGAAGAACAGCTCAGACCAGGGACCCTCTCAGAGCCCAGGAGTCAGACCGTGATCCCATCTGCAGCCCAGAAACTGCTCTCTTGCTGATGTTGGATCTGGAAGCACCATGACAGAGCAGACTGTATGGGCCCTGTGACTTTGGAATTTCAGAAGCCTGGCCGAAAGGCAAGTTGTATCTGCCTGCGACTGCATTCTTCTCCTTCAAGCCTGAACAAAATCACACCAATATGCAGCAACAGATAACTGGGACGGGATGGAGTCAGGACAAAACATCTGCAGCACCTACTACTGCACATCTGGGCCAGCACTTGCAAATTGAGGTTCCAGAGCCAAATTGGGCCTGCAGATGTGCTCTATCAGCCTATTGCAATCAATCCCTTTCCTCCTTCCCTCTTCCTCCCTCCCTCTCTTTCTTCCCTCCCTCCTTCTTATCCCCACTTCCTTCCTCCCTCCCTTCCTTCCCTCTCTCTCTTCCTTTCTTCATGAGAAAATGCTAAGTGCTTGCAGAGGCAAATCCAGCAAGAAGGGGACTGGGAGTGCAAGACTGCAATTTTCAATTGTGTGGTCAGGCCTCAGTGAGAAGGCAACATTGGATCAAGGACCTAAAGGAGAGAGCCAAGTGGATGGGGGAAGAGCATTCCAGAAAGAGGAAAGAGTCAGTGCAAACGCCTTGAGGTGCTGGAGGATTTTGAGCTGAGAAGGGAAGTGATCTGATTATTGTAATAGTGGTTTTTAAAAAACAAAGCTGGCATTTAAACATACACCACTAGCCAGCAAACCAACCCTCCATGGATGTCCTCTTCCCCTGCCCAGCCTCGGCTACTTTGCTGTGACTCCTTCCCCTCCCACTGCGGTCCCTTGATAGGGTCCCCTCCATGTCTCCATCTGCCAACTCACCTTGCTGACTCTTGAGGGCTTGTGGACACAGTTCTCCCGGAGGCAGCGCAAGATGACATTAGTGGCCCTTTTCACCTGCTCCTGGAACTGGGGGCTTGGTTTCAGGTGGTCCTGGATGAAGCTGTCCAGCTCCTTGGTAGGGATCTGAGACAGATGTGAGGCCATCCCTGGCACAGAGGGGGTGATACTGGCCGCCTCCAAGGGGCTGGGAGCTGTGCATGAGGGCTGCTTGTTCCCTGTCCTTGGTCGCACAGCATTGAGACTCCTACTGTCTTCAGGGGTCCCCTGGTCAGGGTCTCGCTGGATGGGGTGACCCAAACTTGAGCACCCAGCACGTGGAAGGCCCTGGAAGGTGATTGAAGGATGAGCTGTCTCGTCCAGGTGCAGAGGTTTCTGCATCCACCCAACTCCTTCTCTCCTAGTCCCTTCCCTTTGTACAGCAGGGTGACTCAGTGGGAGGGCCATGGCTAGCCCACATGGTGCCTTTGTGCAGATTAGAAAAAAAAGGTGTCTGATAGGGTGGTAAACTGCAAAAATGTGCCCCTAGTGATGGGTGGAAAAGCCTGGCAAGTGGACAATAACTGCTGAAAGACAGAGGTGTGCCTTCCTCCAAGTGATCTCAGCCTGGTGATTAGATTGCTTTACATGCCTGCTGCCCCCTCTTTTTCACTCTATTCCATTCCACATGGCCCTCAGCACATAGTAGATGCTCAGGAAACATAGAATATGTAAATTAAGTGCAAAACCCAAGGGTCCCAGGGAACCCCTCACTCACCGGCCCCTCCCAGGGCTGCACAGGGTCCCCAGACCCCTGCAGAAAGCACAGGTGGTCATAGCAGGACTCTGCCTCTTGGGCCAGCATATCCCAATGCCAGGCTGCCCCATTTCCCACATCCCATGTGGGATCAGATGGGTCCAGGATCACAGGTCTACAATTCCAGAGAGACAAGAAGGTTCTGGTTAGTAAGAAAGTCAAGATCAGGGGCTCTGGACTCAAGCCGACCTGGTTCCAACCCCAACTCTGCTGCTTTGCAGCTGTATGACCCGAAGCAGATGACTTACCTTCTCTGAGCCTCAGTTTCCTCATTTGCAAAATGAGGCTATAACAACAATGCCTGCTTTGATGGGCTGTTGTAGAGATGAACTTGGAGCAATGGTCCTCAACCCTAGCTGAACATTAGAATCACAAGGTACCAGGATCCCCCTGCCCCACTGGACTCTGAGTTACACCCCTATGATTTAGCAATTTCATTCCTAGGTACATATTCAACAGATGTGCACATGCACCAAGAAATATGTACAAGACTGTTTAGAATATTTGTATTTAAATTTGTAATAGCTTCAAGCCCTATTTGTAATAGCTTCAAACGGAAACAACCTGAATGTCCATCATCAGTAGAATGGAAAACATGATAAATTCACACAGTGGAATACTATACACTGATGAAAAAGAATGAGCCACAACTACACACAACTATATGAATGGATCTTGAAGACTTAATGTTGAGAAAGAGAAGCCAGACACAAAAGTACATACTGTAACATTCTATTTAGATAAGATCTAAGAAAGGCAAAACTTTAATGATAAAAGTCAGAATAGGGTTATCTTTGGAGGGTTTCTCACTGGGAGGGATGCAGTGAGGTGCTAAAAATATTCTACCTTGATTTGGGTGGTAGTTTCACAGGTAAGTGCACTTTATAGTCATTGAAATGTGCAGTTGGGATGTGCATGTTATATATATCAGTAAAATGTTCATGCACGCAATATATGGAGCCAAGCATTGGTATATTTTTTAAAACTCTCCCCAGGTGACTATAATGTGCATCTGGGGCTCAATCCAATGAATTAGAAAGTGCATGTGCAATGTTTTGCTTTGGCCCTCAGTAGATATGACCTGTTTTATCATTGTTAATTATCTCCCTAGGGTCCAGGGACAGGAGAGCAGATAGTGGGGTATTAGGAGGTACCTGGGTCTCTCAAGCTGTCTTCGCAAGAACTGCCTGACTGTAGGGTCTTCGAAGCCATAGTTGACGGTCCAGAAAACACACAGGTGCTGATACTGTTGGATCAGGCCCAGGACAGTCCGGAAGCCTTGAGCCAGGCTGAAGGCGTCCTTCCCACAACCCTGCTCCCAGGCAAAGATGGTCAGCAGCTCCAAGGCGTAGACAGGGGGTAGCGTTTCCTTCCTTGCCTCCTGGGGGCACACCTGTGAAAGGTGGGGAAGGGGCTCAGACAGATGAGGTGAGGGAAGAGAACTAGCTGTCTGCAGAACTTTGCTGGATAGTTCAGTCTCCAGGCTGGGGACCCTGCAGGCTGAGCCTGGGACAAGGTGCTGTGTTCTAAGCCTGTTCCAAGAGTAACTGGCATTTTTCACCTGCCCTCAGCAATGGTTGGCTCATACTACAGGGAGAAGAAGTATGAATTTAAAGCCCCCAGGAAACACGGGGCAGTCAGAGAGAAGCTATCAGGAAGTCTGAAACTGCTTCCTATCCACCAAATAAAGCTAAGGCACATCTGCTATTCCAGTCAGACACTGACTGGAGAAG